GGCTTTGAAAGGTATTTTTATATCAATTATAAGAATTTCAAAATCAATTGAAACTGGTATTTGATATTACAGAAATGCAAATTGTAATACAGGAAATTCTCATGCAACATGACTTTAGAATTTATTATCAATTGTTAATGAGCTTTTGTTGGTAATAGTGTATGATTATCTTAAAGGATTTATACAATTCAATACAGAATATCATAATTCTTTGCTTTTCAAAAAATAGGTATAATTATGTTTTTTGTAATAAATTTGCATTTTGGACACTTAATTTCATAAATCATGTCACCTTATTTGAACATGCAAGTACGCAAAACAGTGCAACAACTTCCCATAACCATATGAATTATATTTGTGTGGGTTAAAGTTTTCCACCTTACCATTTTCCATATTGCTTTTAAATTGGCTAGAAAAAGATTTCAAACAATGTACAATATTCAAAAAATATTTTTGTGAATGTATGAATATTAATTCAGGGTTCGACACTTACGGGGTCCCGGGATTCCGAGGATCCCAAAAAGTCGGGAGGAATCCCTGTGATTCCTAGCTGGGGATTCCGTTGGGATCCCTGAAAAATTGCTGTGTAAATTTTTGAAATTTTCTGAATTAATGTCATTGAATCACAAATATTCAAGAAAAGTGGTTCAAGAAAGAAAAGAAAAACCCCGCCGGTAAAATCTACACTCTTGAATTATGTACGCTAGTTTTTCTTTGTGCAGTGACTTGCTATCAACTCATTTGCGATATAAAATGACAAAAATGTTTTGACTGAAGAAAACATTCTTGTATACAGTAATTTTATATCATGCATTGACTTCATAAAATAGAGTTGTGAAAATTCAAAAAAAGAAATGTAATTATCGTATAATTTATTACACAAGCGATGTGTACTTCAAATTTGTGTTGATTAATTGACCTTTTCAGGATCAATTGACCTTGGCATATGTAAGTTAAAGGGTGGCTTCCTAAGTTTCCGAAGAAAAATATTGCTCACATAGTAAAGGCACTGTTTGTATTTAGATGTCCCTTACTGGCAAAAATACATGTCAGGCTGGCCTAAATTAAAAGTTTACACATGGAGAAATTATCAGGTGTAAGGTTAGCGAGGGAAATGTTCACTGTTTAATGGGGATATTTTTATGTTCCTTGTTTTATCACTAATTTGTTTAAGAACTATGCTGTAATCTGGACTTAATCTACTGGGTATAAAATTTTTATCTTTCTATTTCATTCATAGAACAATTTATTGGTTTTTAGTAAGAGGAACAGTGATTTTAAAGTATGCACCCAGGTATATTGTTATCAGTACACCAGAGTTGTAGTATTTTGAAATGTTAGTGTTCACAACAGAATTATAACAACAAATAAAAAAAATTTTGAAGGAACTTTTATGTTAGGTCTTGTGTACATCTTCATTAAGAAAGTGTTCAAATTTGCAATTAAATTCAATTCATTTAATTATATATTTTAGAGCACAAACATTATGTAAATGAAAGATATAAGAGAATTTAAGACTGTTATGAAGATACCATGGCCTCTATTTTATTGACAGTAGCAGTATTGTTAAACCCAACAAAAAACAAAAGCAAAAACATTTCACTTAGTCTATTAACTCTTTAAACTTACATATCAATTAAAATTATATTAATTTCACGTTATTGATATTTTGTTAAATTATTTGATGAAATAATGACTGTTGAATGCACAGAATACAGAATCTTCAACAAATTCTTTGCATATATTTAAATTCCTGTGCACAATATACTAATGAAATGTCAGTTTGTTTTTGTATTGCCATATAATAAATCTCAGTTTTATCAGTTTTTTGTGTTACTTATATTTCCACAATTTCAAGTGCAGTGCTATTTTATTGTTGTCGTTTCTATATTTACCTGTTTTGCCGGTTATATTTTATACCTGTAATTACAAAAACACGTGTAAACTGATGGATGTATCTTTTTTACCCCGTCTTGATCTACCTAATGTTTATGATTGTATAAATAGCCACAATACATCTAACATAAAAACTTGTGCCTGACATAAAAACTTGCAACTTTTTGTACCTAGGCTAATCGAAACCAGGTTATATTACCTATAAAATTCATTCATAAGAAGATTTATAATGAATATAAGACCATTTATTCCGATTTTACATGTAAAATGGTTGTGACAATCTGCTAGTTACTTCATTATTATTTGTCATTGAATTTTGGCTTTGAAAGGTATTTTTATATCAATTATAAGAATTTCAAAATCAATTGAAACTGGTATTTGATATTACAGAAATGTTAATTGTATACAGTAAATTCTCATGCAACATGACTTCAGAATTAATTATCAATGGTTAATGAGCTTTTGTTGGTAATAGTGTATGATTATTTTAAAGGATTTATACAATTCAATACAGAATATCATAATTCTTTGCTTTTCAAAAAATAGGTATAATTATGTTTTTTGTAATAAATTTGCATTTTGGACACTTAATTTCATAAATCATTTCACCTTATTTGAACATGCAAGTACGCAAAACAGTGCAACAACTTCCCATAACCATATGAATTATATTTGTGTGGGTAAAAGTTTTCCACCTTACCATTTTCCATATTGCTTTTAAATTGGCTAGAAAAAGATCTCAAACAAAGTACAATATTCAAAAAATATTTTTGTGAATGTATGAATATTAATTATTAAGCTTAATATTGTTTGTTGTCTGTAAACGACTGTAGGTTTTGCCAGTGCGTTAAGGTACAGGGATAATGTATGACAGGAATTTGGCTCAGACAGACACCTGCCAATCAATGGCAGGACTAACAGGCTTGTGTTAGAAACAAATCTAATTAATTATCTATCCTGTCTTGTTTATTGTTCCCTTGTTAATGTTTATAACTGAGCAAGAATCAAACTAGCTTTGTACTAAATTTTAATGAAAGACAAAATCCTATAATTTGTAAGTTAGTCAATAGATATAACTTTTCATAAATTCAAGACATTTTTGGAGAAAAAATAGATGTATGAATATGAATAATTTTATTGAACAAAAGGCAAATGCCTGTGAGTACATATATACAAACATATATGACACTGGAATAAAAAGGACATTTTATTGTGGTTAAACACTGCATACATTGTAGTTAATATATAAATCAAGTATTAGGAAGTAATTCATTGAAGGAACTTATGTAATATCATCGATGACTGCTTCATGTTACTTTGTATTGAAGTAGGGAGAAAACACAAACGTCTTTTATGTAGAATCTCTTGTCATGCTTAGGATTTTATAATGAATTGGTCAGACCTAACTCTAAAAAACACAAAAAAACTTTCATGAAAAACATATCAAAGCCGAGCTATGCTGTACAGACACATAGTCTGAACTGCCTATTTACTTGTAATATAGGTCTGTCAGTATTGTCTTTGGGGCTGTAAAACAAACTTTAAATGATTCATCAGCAATCCACCTGCCTGTAGTAAACATACTTGTTATTTAATAAATAATAGTGTACACAAATTGTAACAGTGCTTAGATAATGGCTATACCTCAAGTGGTCTGGATATAGCATTAGGTCATCTGGTTTGAAAAAAACTCTCTGTAATCTAATAAAAGTAATTCTTTAAGAAGGATGTTTAAACATAAGCCTAAATAGTTATAATGAGGAAAATATGATATGTTATCAGATAGCAGGAGAGTGAAATTTTTTCAGGTTATCTCAAAATATCTCTTTGCCTAACATAACCTTGATTCTAAACAATCGGGTACAAATGACATTAAATATTTAGTTTATTGAAATTGAGTCAGTTACAAAAATAAAGTTGGAAAAATCCAGGTATGTTAACCTAGAAATTATGAAACTTAAGTCTTTGACAGGCAGGGCAGGCACCTAGTCATTAATAATGTAAAATATGATGTTAGTTTGACTTCACAACAAACAGAATGAAAAGTTACATTATGTTATTGTAAACATAATACAAATGATATCTGGATGTTATAAATGTATACACTTGGGGTACATTATATTTTTGTATCTGTTGAGTATTTATACAGCTTAGATTTTATCTGGTTATTTGATACGGTAATCAGCTGAAATATTCATCATGAAGTTTTCATGTAATCAAAATTAGAACAGCTTAAACAAGATTATATTGTAGATGGTGTACAGATTAACCTGCTATCTCTAGATACTGCCTAAGTGTTATATTGAAGCATTCATTCATTCATTCAAAGTTTCTTGTAATAATTCCTTATGAATAAGAAGTGCATCAATCTCAAAGACTTAATTTGGAAGCACTTTGTCTTGTTTGACCTTGACCTGTTAAATTTGTGTCATAGACTTATCTTTCTTAGAACTTGGAACTGTCCCATTGTCAATATAAGGGTATTTCAATCAGATATTCTCACATATAAAACCAACTGTTACAGAGACCAATCATGCTGCACAAAAACTATTTTTATCCTTAGTGAACTTGACCCAATCAACCTAAACAGGTAAAAGGTCAATGGAAAGTACAAAGACATCAAATGTGCAAGGGCATACAGAAGTCATTGTAAGATGCTTGTGTTTGGAAAGTAAATTGATAATATTCTATCTATATTAAAAAGTAGCAAAATCAATCAATATGTCATGTATACATTATTGTTAATTTTCATACCCTTTGCATTTTTTTGGTTGACGAAATAGTTGTTGATTTGTCCTTCCATCTATCTTTGACACTTGTTACTGTCAACACTGTTTTTCATTGCATCTTCATTTATATATCGACTGATATCTTATATCTTTGATGTTTGTACTTTCCATTGACCTTTTTCCTATTCAAGTTGAGTGGTTCAAGTTCACTGAGGAAAAAATTAGTTTTTGCTTCTTGTCATTATAATAATCCCTTTCTTGAGCTTTGTCAAATTGACTTGGAAGGAACTTTGATCCAGGTGATGGATATTCTTGTTCAGTCTATTATTAGTAACATAGTAGATATACGAGTATATACATTTATTATCATTTCAGGATGGAGTTGTTGCGTTGGTTCGAGACCTGGACCACCAGGCCATCCGTAGCCGAAATAAAAGTGTGGAACAGTTTCTTAATAAGTGTAAGTATTATACGCTTTAAAGATACGGTTGATTTTCTTACTGATGAAACACATAACTGTACCTAGCTAGTTCATCACAACAAGTTCATTACATAATACTATACCAAGAAATGACAAAATAGTCCTGATAGTAATTATGTTTAAAAAAGTTTTAGAGTAAACTGTTGAAATTTATGTTGCCAGTTCAAGTTATAAGTTTGATCATGAGTACATTTTGATGCCTAAATGAGTGCAAAGAGAGACACCTCACTAAGTTTTTCATCCATTCAATGATTGATAAAACTGCCATATTACAATGTTAGTGTGTCTAAAAACCCAACTTAAAGTAGGTTACTAGGTACTCCTGTAAAATAAAAATAACTTTGGTAGTTATATATATTAACGATTGTGATCACTTGAAGTTTGACAAGATTGTTAAGCAATGTTATATGCTAAAGGATTACATTATTTACTTACTGTAAAGTATGAACTGGAAATGATGAAGTACATCCTGTTAAATTGTGTTAAATCTTGTCACTTCCCATCATTGTACTTTTTGGGTCAATATTTAGGATATCAATTGTGTGTCGTGTTGTGATGGCAAGTCAAAGGAAAATAAATAAGGGTTTTTCCTGACTAATTATGACAAGATGAATAAAAAGGAGGATTTTCATTGAGAAAAAAAAAGAATGAGAAATGTTATACATTGCTTTTAGACTGTTTTATAAAATGAAAGCTTGATATAATTTCAGATAAACAGTCATTTGATGTAATTACCAAGCATCGTATGAGACATGATGACTTTAGTGTCATCAAAGTTATTGGACGTGGTGCATTTGGAGAAGTGCAATTGGTAGGTCCTATTCCAGAACCAAATGTTTCTCAGAATATTATTTTCTACACATCTTTGATGAATGATGACTGGTTAACAAGAAAATTGAAGAATTTTTTAAAATTAAAATGTACATGACTTTTGATTGGTCTGAATTGCTCTGTGTTTTACCAACAATTTGAAAAATGATTCCAAACGACTGACTTGGAATTTAGTCTAAAACCAAAAATTGTCTGGGTATCTCTTTAACATACACTTGTGGTGATTAATTGAATATATATTGACAACAAAATTGATAGATTTAAGATTTAGGACTTCTTTACTATACATATAGATTTAAATTTTAACATACTGGTTGAGTAAGTCGCTCAAGTTATTATTCTGATAATGTTAAAATAGTACACATTAAGATTTCTTGAGAAATCTATTAACATATTTAAGGGAATAAATTTTTATTATTCTTGATAATCAAGAATTGTTGATAATTTTCATTGCAATAATGTTGAGGTATATCTAAAAATACAGAATTTTATTACCAATTTTGAACTTTGTACTATAAAATAATGTCATGCTCTAAATGATAAATTATTTGAGGTTCTTTTATTTATTCTTGTTTTTTTTATACAATTTTAGGTACGTCATAAGATCTCAAAGAAAGTATATGCTATGAAACTCCTCAGCAAGTATGAAATGGTATGTATTTTACAAGACAACATTCACGTTCTTCATTTGTAAAAACTTAAAATGTATATTAGATGTATTTTTTTTTCTGTCTATACAAAAGGCCATAATAATCAAGCTGATAGGGAACTCTGCGTGTTTTGACATGAAAAAATAATGTTAAAAGCAGGATGATATTCAAGCAGAGCTGTTATTTTAACTTAATAAGTTATATGTTGATGTTTTTGTGCATCATGTCTGATATTGAAGACGAAATCCATTTTCCAAAAATAAAGTGATCTAAGTTTGCACAGTGGTGCAAATTTTGTTTTCAAGATCTATTTGATAACATTGCATGCTCATAGGGAGGATTTATCTTGAAAGAGATTTAAAGAGATTCATATCAACATTTGAAAAATGATAGTAAATTATGTTAAAACATTTAATGAAATGATTTTCAGATAAAAAGAGCAGATACAGCATTTTTTTGGGAGGAGAGAGAGATAATGGCAAATGCCAACAGTGAGTGGATCGTACAGGTAGGCAAATACTCTCAAATCAGTATCATTCATTAAAAAACTCCAGGTGCAGTGCTTAAGCCACATAACTCTGCACACATCTGAAAATAATGAAATTTAAAAAAGAAGAAAAGATGTCATGCTTCTGTTAAATCTGAACCCTTTAAGAATTGAAATTTTAGTACCTTTGAATTACAAGTATATCTATGTACAGATGATATATGCAAAATTTATTTTTTATATTCAGTGAAATCTTCAAAAGAAAGAACTAAAATAACTTTACATATTGACAAATTGTGTTAAAAAGATGATTGTGATTGATATTTTAAATCAATGTGAATTGATATTTTAAATCAACGTGAATTGATATTGATTCTCTTACATTGTAAAAGCCAGCAATTTGTTAGTGTCATGTTTTTATTAACGTTGTTAATGATTTTTGTTTGCAGTTACATTTTTCATTCCAAGACGAGAAATATCTATACATGGTGATGGACTATATGCCCGGTGGTGACCTTGTTAATCTCATGAGTAACTATGACGTCCCGGAGAAATGGGCCAAGTTTTACTGTGCAGAGGTCGTCCTAGCACTGGATGCTATTCATTCCATGGGTTTTATACACAGGTTGGTCGCACACCCTTCTACTAATCAAAGTTTTAATTATTTTTAAACTAAAGGCAAAAACTTCTATTTATATAATATAATATACAAAGTTCAAGGTCAGTTTTAATTATGTCTTAACTAAAGGCAAGCAAAGGTATGGCAGGAATTCATTCTAAGAATTGATTTATGTTTTGCAGGTAAACTAATCTGACCATTACTTTATTAGTTACATATATGTCAGTTAAAAATTAAACGTGTATTTCAGAGATGTGAAACCTGACAATATGTTACTAGACAGAGCAGGTCATTTAAAGTTGGCTGACTTTGGTACATGTATGAGGATGGACAGGGTAAGTCCTTGAGAAGTGACACTGTAAATTATTGTTTGTTGTTTAGTTAAATACAAGAAAATATAACAGAAATTTACTTTTATGCAGCATCATATATAAAAAAGGTATAAAAAAGAAACATTGAATATGAGAACTGGAAACAAGGACTAAGTCTTTTTCCTTGTAAAATGATGTTATTTAAGTAATATGATTCAAGAAGATAAACTGAGTGCTGTATTTATAGCTTTTATGCAAATGGGAAAAGGTAACTATTTGGTTTCTATAGGAAAAAGAATAAATGCAATTAGTGATTTTACTGGTTTCTCAGCATTAACATTTTCATTTTAGCTGCTTCTTAAACATTCAAGCTGTGAAACTGAAATATATACATGTACAGAAACTTGGTGTGCAGTCTGACCTGAAAGATTATTGGTGAATCTAGGAAGAGTAGAAGGTCAAATGTTACATATGGATATGTAATCGAACTGTTTGACCATCTGACCAGTTTTAAAATTTCTAATGAATGAAATAATGAACATTATATATACATTATATTTACAGGATGGTATGGTAAGGTCAGATACTGCTGTAGGAACACCTGATTATATCTCACCTGAGGTTCTCAAATCTCAGGGGGGAGATGGTCACTATGGTAGAGAATGTGACTGGTGGTCTGTGGGTGTATTTATTTATGAAATGTTAGTCGGTGAGTATAATTATAGTTAAATTTCCTAACATTTAAAATCTTTGTCAACTTACTTTTATGCAAGAAATGTCTCTCTATTCTTCACCGCAATTATAAACCATACAGGGAAGTCTTTTCATTGATAACTTTGATATAAGTTTGTTACTGCAACAGTTAATTGTTTTAAAATTGAAACTTACCTGTTACTTAAAAAAGTAATTATATAATGGACTTTGCTAATGGTTATTTATGCTAAGTTTAATTTGAAAAGAAAGGTGTATGTAGCCCACTAAAGGTAAATAGATCATTACAATGAATACTAGGCTGGATAAGACATGAGTTATGGCCAAGTGGTTAAGGTTTCTACCTAAACCCACTCCAGGGATCACTTGTTTGAGCCATAATTGTGTCACAATTCATATGACTCTGTACTGGTAGGTACTTGGAAGCAGACTCGAAAGTGATTAATATAAGTTGCAAGAAATTGTTTCGCAATTGAGCTTAAATAAATATGTTTAAATTAACAAATAAGATGCAATTTTACCTCTTTTTCTTTGATGTGTATGAAATATTTGTGTTTTCAGGTGATACTCCATTTTATGCTGAATCTCTGGTTGGTACCTATGGTAAAATTATGGACCACAAAAACTCATTAGAATTCCCAAATGATATTGAGATGTCAAATGATGCCAAAAGTTTAATATGTGCTTTCCTTACTGATAGGTATGACCATTGAAAGCTTGAGATACATATGAAAGATCATTTGTAAAGCAGTAGAAATATGGTGATTAAATACTGCAAAATCAGTTTTAAACCGTACATAATATGTAAAATATAACTTGGTTCTTGAATGTTTTTATCTTTCTTAAAAGTTTAGTCCATTTTTCTCAATACTGATTTTCTTGAAATATTTTGGCTGATCTGGAGGCTTGCAGCTTTAAAGTCACCTATAGTTGTTTAGATAATAGTGAATTACATATCTCTGTAAGGCTTACAAATTTATGTAAAAAAAATTATCAGAAATTTTTATCAAAAAAGAACCTTCAACAATTATTTTATTGGTGGGTTGGTAGGAATCACTGTTTTCAGGTTGTATTCACCTGTAATCATATTTTCACATAGTATAATTTCTCTGTGTTTGATATTTTCATACCCATTGGGTACATTATCATAGTTGGTGTGGAATTGATGGGTCAGGGCTCACGCTGTCGGTCGCCATAGTCGCCATTTGCGATTATTTTATAAGATTGGCGATTATTTTTGCATTTTGGCTACAAAATCTGGCGATTATTTTTTACTTCCAACAGTGTTTATATAAGGTGTAAAAATCAATAATGAATGCAGTAGACCCAATTAACACCAGCGGGGTGCATTTAATCGAGTCACGACGAGTGTCAACTTTTTACCGGTCACGTGCTGCTAACTATATTGCCCGAGGGGAAAAATACATGCGAGATGTATAATTGTATAAGTACTTTAAAGATATTGTCCAGCATTTATAATAGCCATCAAATATCCGTCAATTAGCCACAAAATCGTTTTTTAAAATTGATAAACTGGACATTGACTTACCCAAAATTTACCGTGAATTGCACATTTTGATTTCTTTTGTTTTAAGCTACTTGACTAAATCGCCAGTGGGAAACAATGGTAAAATATTTAAAAAGTATTAACTTCCAAACAACTATTTGCACAACAACCAAAATTGTGAATATTTCTTCAGAAAACAGGAAAAAACCGATTGTCACATATTTTCGCGACACCGATAATTTTGATATTTATTTAAAGGTGAAATAAGCTATGTTCTGTTTAAAAATCTTTACTATTATGGCAGAAAATTTGTATTACATTGGTGATGATGATATTTTTCAGTAAATTATTCAGAAAAAAAGCTGCATTCTGTGAATGAGTTTGCAAACTTGTGTTATTTCTATAGGCTAATATGACCTAGATCTACTCCAGTTCTGTGTGAAATGTGGAAATTGACAGTGGTTATAGCTGACAAAATTTGATTAGAACAAACAAAAAAAGTTGTCTGATAACAGCATTATGTAAAGTTATAATGAATCTTTAATATTATTGTTATACAGTAATTATACTAATTATAACGTTTTTATTCTGTTCTATAATAACAATTAAAGTTGTGGTTCTATTTAACAAAAAGGTAGTTATCAATGTACACAAATGTATCAGTTTATTTGAGAATCCTTATAAAACTGAAAAAGTTGTATATGTAATGTTTATTTTATCAACTGCTTATGTTGTTAATCGCTAATTTGTGAATAGTCCGCTGAACTTTTGGCTATTATTTTTTTAAGTTGAAATTATTGGCTATTATTTTATTTGAGCCAGTGTGAGCCCTGTGGGTGTTTCAATCATAATGGTTCTTGTGTCAGTTTGTTTTTATATCCAAACCAATTAATGAATGTTTTTCAGAAATGAACGTCTTGGTAAAAATGGCATAGAAGAAATTAAAGCACATAGATTTTTCAAGAATGATGGATGGAACTGGGGCAATATAAGACAAAGTAAGCTTGATGTTATTTTTTCTATGTATTTATATTGAGTGACTAGATCTCCATCTTCAAGTGGTTAAAGTCACTTTTTGCACACCAAGACTGGTTTGAATCTTGCTGGGGACATTTTATTCCTTCAAAACTTTATATTTAGGCCCTAAAGAGCACATTAGGTTTTCCAAAGACCTGTACTAAAAGAACTGGAAAATTGCCATATGACCTTAATCAGTTTGAGTTGAAACAGTTAAAAGGTTGTTAAAACATGAGTATTGTATTGATTGCAAGGATCATGAAATATTTCATTTTGTTGTGATGAGATTTCAGTTTTGTAAATCTGTAATAGTTTTGTGAATCTATATTAGATATAAAGCTGTCATTAAAAATGCAAACATTTTTAACCATCAACAGCTGTACCACCAGTGGTACCAGAACTGGTGGGGGATGATGATACCAGTCATTTTGAAGATGTAGAAAAGGATGACAGTCCCGAGGGTCAGTTTGAGGTACCAAAGGCCTATGCTGGGAACCACCTACCATTTATCGGTTTTTCCTACAATAAAGAATATCAGTAAGTAAATTTGACCTTTACTCTGCTAAAATTATTTGATGGATCTGACCTGATTTGAATATGGTACAGTCCATTTGAATTTTAAGGGATTTTGTTAACAAAACACTAAAGTAAAGATTGCATAGATTTAATGTGTAATAAATAAATATTAAATTAAAATTTAAAATTGACAGTTGTTGGAAATTTATGCAAAATTGTACCATGTGTTAAAATGGTTGATATATATTATTTTGCCCTTGTATGAACAGGTTGTTATCAGGAGGAGGCGGTGGTGGTGGTACTACTGCTGGTAGACAAGGTCCAATACCAACAAATGTAAGTATTATACTGTGTTGATTTTACTAAACACAATTGTGTGCCTGGAAATGGGATGCTAGAAACTATGACAACAATCTGTGGTTTTCAAAAAACATGCAAATCTTAATGAGTTTATGAAAAATGTGTGTTTTTTGAATGTGTGTGCAAGATTTTACTAAAACTGATTGCGGTGATGTGAAATGTGGAAAAATTATGAAATTGTACCATGTACAATTTCATACTTTCCACATTGCATGGCTTTATAAAGCAGCGACTGAAAGGCTTGGATAATTTCTGCTTTGGGCTGTTTTGATGTGTTTGGGTTCTTTGACACTTATGGTAAGTTTAATGCAACATAGAGCCAGATAATGTTTTACTTGTCTAAGAATTAGAATGGTTTTCTTACGTGATGTAACACAAAGATTTGCTTTGTAATAATGTATCTGTTATTTGTGGCTAGCTGTCAACTTCCGCCATCATGTAGAGGCAAGGTGAATGTTTGGTTTTGTATAATGACATGTACATGACTCTGGGGTGTTGGGGGGGGGTGGTAATTACATAATTAGAGATCATCAAGTTTGAATCTAAAGTCAAAAGTATGTGTGGTAGCTACAGATAACAGTTTCATTAATATGAGCTTTTGGTTAGAAAATATTCCTGTACATTCCTTAGTGTTAGGTCATTGTAATGAATTTGTAATTTACCCTCATATAACATGTTTAGCCAATTAATTATTATTATGTAAATGTATTTAAATTATTTTATACAATACTGATGTACATATTATTTAGTTAATCAGCTATTTACTGCATTCATTTAATTAATTATTTTGAATATCTGATTACATATTGAGCCCATAATAGATACTATTTATATATTCTTTATAATTTTTAGCTCGACTTTTCTATGAAAAGGGGAGCTATCCTACTCGCCCCGGCGTCGGCGTCGGCGTCACACCTTGGTTAAGTTTTTCGTACCACCCCACTTTATTTCAGAAGTATTACAAGTATGGCTTTGAAACTTACCATACTTGTTCACCATCATAACCTCCATCTACAGACAAGAGTACATAACTCTGTCAAGGTTTTTGACAGAATTATGGCCCTTTTTTTGACTTAGAAAGTGTATTGAGCTTGGTTAAGTTTTTTGTACCACCTCACTTTATTTCAAAAACCATTGGAGGTATTGCTTTGAAACTGACCATACTTGTTTACCATCACGACCTTCATCAACAGACAAGAGGACATAACTCTGTCAAGGTTTTTGACAGAATTATGCCCCTTTTTGACTTAGAAAAATACATTGAATATGGGTAAAATCCACTTATTGCCTTAACCCTTTGAGATATTGCTTTGAAACTTTTAATGCTATTTCACATCATTACCCCCATCTGTACGCAAGAGAAGGTAACTCTGTCAAGGATTTGTTTTAAAAATTAAGGCCTTTTATCGACTTAGAATCTTGGTTAAGTTTTTAGTACCAGTCCACTTTTTGACTGAACTGTTTGAGATATTAATTTGAAAGTTGGAATACTTGTTTACAATCATGATTCCCAAACATGTCCAGGAGAAGGTAATTCTGTCAAAGATTTTATTTGAATTATGGCCCTTAACTGTCAATGTTTTGTATTATAGGCAAGCACTAAAAAAGTCGAGCGCGCTGTCTTACGGACAGCTCTTGTTTATTATTAATGTAAAGTAATATAATATAACCATACTGATTTATGAGAACTAGGTTATTCGTTATTAATTGATACTGTATTTCCTTTTCCCTGCTTGCTGAATCTATTTTGCTGGGTTTTACAGGGAGATTTTGTGGATGTAAGTTTTCTTTACCCCACCCACTTGGTAGATGGTGCATGATTCTATATATTATATTATCTATAGAAGTTCTTGTTGTAATTTAAAGGTTTATTTCCCTTGAAAAGTTGTGCAGCCGTTTTAAAGAGCTTATTCAAAATCCTTCTTTTAAGATACAAAGTGATTGACATGTTTCAAAGTTTTGCCTTATATTTTATGATGAAATTTTAAAAATGTTGGTAAAATTTAATCATCCATGAATTTCTATTGCTAAAACGATTTATTGAATGATTTTTAAAATATTTGTATTTCATAATGATGTATATCAAAATTTTGATTTAAGTTTTTTTAAATGGCTGTGGTAAGGGGAGATAATTTATGCTAAGTGATCATTTTTCAGGTTTTATTTTCACAAATAGAAAAAATAACTTCACAGGCATTTGTGGAAAAGTCACCAAATATATTTCAATTTTCATTTATTCGCTTGTTTTCATATTTATACGATTTATCTTTTTGCTTGGGCTATGCGATACAAGACACCAATATTTAAAGGGAGCCATAGTTGATTGGTTAACATGTCTGCCTCTTAATTCAGTTATGATAGGTTAGTACCCTGCTTGTGTCACAGCCATGGTTTCTTATATCGAACTAGTTCTGGTTTGTACAAGTTTAAATAACTTGCTCCGCAGCTGGAATAAAAAAAATGTTTTATCTTAAAATAGATGGAAAATTGAAAATACTGTATGGTTTATAACTTGTTCTTAGTTTGAGAGATACACATATTTGCAAGTTAAGAATGAAGTTAATGCAGTTAAGTTTGTAGAGTCTGGTGCATTATTCTAACTATTGACTTTAGATATATTAATATGAGTAATGAAAACATTTGTTAACAATGTTAGTCTTCGTTATAACCCATTTCTGTATTGTACATATTAACCCATTGACCTGCATGATCTTTATGTATTTACCACATTGTTCAGTTCATAACACAGATGGTCAATGCAAGTAAAATCATTAGCTCGACTATTTGAAGAATAGGGAAAGCTATTGTACTCGTCCATTTGTCCGCATCATACATTGGTTATGTTTTTGCATGAAAGTTGTTATCTCCAAAAGTACTGAAAGGAATAAGTTGAAACTTCACACACTTTTTTGAGAACATAATATACAAGGCCCATAACTCTTACATTGAGGTTGACAGAATCATTGCCCGCTTTGAACGTAGAAATACCAAACACTATTTCTTTTATGATAATTTAATCCTAACTTAAAAGATGGGATGCATGTCTAATGACAATACGTAACAAAACCAGGAAAAGCTTTCTAACTGGAAACTTACATATTAAGATGTTGCTAACTGATGTCAATTGAGATGTTGAAATGTACTTAAATTTGCACACACAAAAAACAACAACAAAAAAACAAATAAAAGAACAAAGAAAAACAAACCATACTCTGCTAGCCTTTATTCTGTTTTGAGATTTTAAAACTATTTTTAGAACCTTAGATTTAGATATCCCTTCAATTTATTTATTTCTTTGTATTGATTAGCATTTTTCTGTACATATTTTTGCTGTTTATGCTTGAAAATGATTATGACATAGCTGTTGCCAAATGTGTGATACACATTAATATAATGTGTTTTTTTCCCATTGCTCTACTTATGACAAATCAAATCCATGAGGATATTAAATTCACACATGAATGATTCAGTTTATAAATTTATAAATTTTGTGGTGTTGGGGGATGTTAATAGATTTTAATACTTACAGTTATTTAATTTTTATTCCTTTGATTATTAGGCATGTAGCTCTTGCTGTAACCTAGTCTGTGGGTCTTTGTCCACGTTCTGTTGCATGAATTTTATTTACATCTTTACCTATTGAAAGATTTCACATAATTAAATACATGAACAATCAGCAGTAGTACATCTTTTGCATTTCCTAGTTTTCAGAGATTTTTAAAAAAATATTTACAGACTTATGACCCTTTAACATTATTTTTTTCAAGTATGCAACTGTATAGGGAGACATTTGTTACTTTTGGTAAAAGATGTGGTTTTGTTTTCTTTTTATGGTTGTTTCAGTAGTAGAGATATGATATAGTTAATACAACATGTATCTCTGTGCTTGTGAGAAATTTATTCTCCAAAAAATGCATTTTGCTGATGACTTGTAAAAAATTATCTCTCTTATTTTAAAATTTTCAAGTAGTATTTAATGAACATACCATTCCCTTTAGTTATTATATGGATTTGGTTTAAACCCTATCTAACTCTTTACCTGCTAATATATTATATAGATTTGTTCATTTTTCAATTCATCATTTTTTGGAAATTTTCAAAATATTTACTGACAAAATAGCAGTGTAGACCACAATCAGATGGTTTGGATGTGCTGTCTCATCTTGGTCTGCACTGGTCACATGAGTAGAATCCTATTTTCACATTGATGAAGGAGGAGTATTTGATAATTTCTTCATTACATCAATTTCATACAGCTGATGTGCAGTTTGGTGCAATTAAGATGCTGAATGAAAATTAAAAGATTAACCATTAGGTTTTTTTGTGTTAAATGAGTCATTAGATTATTAAACATGGTGCTATATGACAAATTTTTGCTGACAAATTGCATACAAATAACATGTGTTTTATATAGATATCATGTTTTGTATGTCATAGAGGTAAGAAATGTTGTTTTAACCTATATATTATAAAGATTCTGTTGTATATTTTACCAGTGTACTCATTGGTATATTAATTATTTATAGGGCTCGGATGTTGAAGGAAAGTTGCGGAATCTCGAGGATCAACTTCGAGCGGTCAAATCTCACAATGTTGACTGGGAGAAAAAATTCATGTATGAACTTTTGATTTTCATACCTTTCTGTTAGAAAACCTTAGGATTTTTGTAAGCATTTTGGTAAATTTATGTTGTGTTTTAATACATAGTCATTCTTGTATGCCTGATTTATAAGTTGTAAAAAAACACAAACATATCAAAATGCAACTGCTTTGCATCCAATGGCTGTAAATATTCATAATTGTGAATTAATTCAGGTCATTGAAGAATGAAAATGAAAGAATTTTGACAGAAGAGGGACAGTTACGAAGAGAATGTAGAGACCTGGAGAAAAATATGGCACTAACTAAACATGAACTTAAAGAGGTATTATATGGATTTACAAACTTACTTTGCCATAAAAAGTATGGCACTAACTAAACATGAGCTCAAAGATATATGTATTTACTCACACCCATAGTATAGAAAATCATATAAAAGATTTTCTGGTGAAACAAGTCTTAATGGTTAATTCTAAAAAAAAAATGATGGTGTTCATTTATTGTTCTTAAGCTTCACTAAGTCTTATTAAAAAGAAACACTGAACAGTTTATTCTAAAAAATTGACCAGTGAAGGAGTTAGAGTATTGGAATGCTTAATCAGTGAACACATTAGAGAATTAGGGCATAACTATATGCCAACATACCTTTCAAAGGGGTGATAATAAAGTCCCTCCACCTTCACATGCATACTGTCCTGAAAAATGAAATAAAAAAGAAATGACTTGAATTATTATTTAGTTATCTGAACCTGTATTAAAAGTTGATGATTTAATATTTCTTGCAGTATCAACGAAAGTTTGAGTTTGAGCAAGAAGGAAAGCGTAAATTAGAGTTTCAGATAAAGGAGAGAGAAAGACAACTTGACAATGAAATATCTAGAAACAGAGATGCTGAAGCTAGCAAAATGAACATTAATGAAAGAGTTTCTCATCTTGAAAAAATGGTAAGACTCTTCTCTTATTGTTCATATATAATAATACCCTCTGGACAGCTTTAACTAATGAAAAATGTATTCCATCTATATATGTATATATTATGTCATGTGTAATGGGCGAAAAATGTTGAATTTTATTTTGAAATGGTAAAAGCTTAACTGAATTTTTAATTATTTGAAATCAAACTATTTGATAAGTATATATTTCTATTTTATTACAAGTTTTTCTGTTTAATTAACATCAGTACTATAGGTAAGCATATAATGTTTTCATATTATTTCAGTTAAATGACAGCAAAGAGAAGTTTAGACAGGAGCAAGAAAATTCCAACAAAGCCAAGAAACACCTAACAGAGATCCAACAGGTATGTGTTCATAGCTACATCAGAGATTAAAGCACTTCAGTACTGTAACTCAAGTTACTTTACAACTGGTACTAAATATAGTTTTTATCCTGTTATATATAAAAAATCTATATTTTAAATCAACTCTTTGTAACTTGTAATCTTATGATCTAATGGACCAGCTACTGAAAGTTAAAAAAATTATTTATTTTTTGGATAACTTGGGTTTCCTATTTTCAAATGAAGATTGGTTTCATTTAATTTATATGCATATATGTTCATAGGAAGGAAGATTTTATCTATGTCTTAAAGTCTTCTAATCATTTTTCATGAGTCAGATTGGATTTAAGTCAAGACAGTACCTTATAAAGAAGTTGAATCAATGCATAAAAGGGAAGGGGATAATATTATTGATGGAACTTAATGAGCATGTATGGTTGTGTTTACAGAGATTGACAATAACCGAACAAAGCTACCAGGATATAAGCAATAAATACAATGAATTACAAAGTGCTAAATCAGCCGTAGAGAAAGAATTAAGAGATCTTAGACTGGCTCTAGAGAGTGAAACATTAAACAGGAATCAAGCGTCAGAACAGTCCGCGGAACTACATGGTAAGTTTTTAGTGATATAAGTGTACCAGTCTATTATCTCTACAATTTTATTTGCTGTATTAGATAAACCCTGATTTTGAGCAGTTGGCACATTAGGAAAATTTTGATGTGAAAACAATTTGAAAAGTTGAACATGAATAAAACAGTATAACTTTTATTTTCTGCAGTAGCAATGTAGTGATTTTGAAGTGTTACATGGTTAAATGTGGTTGACTGTTTAAAAAGTCTTATGAACACTGACTGTTAAGGGTTTATATACAGCGCCATGTAATAATTTGTTTTATGAATAGATGATGACTTTGTCTTGCCATAGATAGTGTCTAGTTCAGGAACTGTTTCAGGACATTGATAATTTATATTGAACTTTTTGATTAATTATCCTTTAGGATAATTTTTTAGGTGTAAATTTTATTGGACATTTTTCTTCTCTAACCTTTAGGATGATTTTAGGTGTGAATTATATTTAACTTTCTAATTCTGAATCCTTCATTGATGATTTTAGGTGTAAACTATATTAACATATGTAATTTTGTATCCCTCAGATCGTATACGATACCTACAGACAGAATTAGATAAGGCCACTGAGAGAGACAGATATAATGCCAATGAGATTCATAAATTACAAGATAGCATCAATACTCTAGAAAAGGTTTGAAATTATCTTATATCTTGATTTGATTACTAGTCCAATTTTACTTCTCATGTGATTGACTCCATGTGAATCTTGGAAAGTCCCGTTTATGAAATATATTTGTTAACTGGGCCTCCCTGGCCAAATATCTCTGAATTTGAAACCTGTTGCCCCTCATTGTTGTGGGTGCAAATCCTGATAGCATTTTTGGTTTCTTTTGTGTAATGAAGCTTTTCAACTGGCTTACAGACCATCTGTGGTTCTACTCAAATGCCTGAAATATTGCAGGGAGGGCACTTGAGGACTTTCTCCATCAATAAAGCCATAATTACCTGAACAGTGTTGGTTTGTTTGTTAAAGCAATTATTCATTATGTTACTAGCTATTCTGATCTTAATTTGTTTAACTTACAGTATATGTAGGTTGTATTGTCAGTACATATTAATTATTGGAAAAGAATGTGCTTGTTTTGATAGATTTTATTGTTCATTTATCCTATGAAAATTGAATTTTCCTAATGGTGAATTTAGTTTTCACACAGATAAAGCAGTAACATACTTGTGCCTATATGATATAGATTTATAGATGTTTAATTAAGACTGAAATTTGACAATTTTGTATAAGTTAAACAGTATATTGACTCATACATATACATATATTTTCTGTATATCAAAAGGGCAAGAAACATGCAGAATTGGAGTTACAGAACTTTGCTAAGAAGTTGGAGACAGAGCGAGGCTCCCATAAAGAAACTGTGGCAAAGTTTAACCTTGACAAGAAAAATATTCTCATGTCAACGGAAGAGGCAAATATGGAAGCTATCAGAGGTTTGTCTATTTAAATTGTATTGAGAATATTAAAATTCTGATAACTTGCTTTAAAAAAAAAAGAGGATTATGATGAAACCAAAAAGAGAAAGAGTTCTTTAAAATTCAAATAACAAACTAATGTCAGTATGCATATCTGTAGTAGTAAATGGATTTTCATTTCATCACATAGAAACACATCAGAACAAGCTTTACTGTTATTTAAGGCTGCTGGAAGGGACTAAAGCCTATAATTTTTATCCAGTTCAGGAGACTAATGTTTGCTTCCACTTAATGGACTGACAAGTCAGTGACCTATGTTTTCAACCAGTGTAAGAGTGCCAATTGTCTCTCTTAGTGGATTTTTTTTGTGACCGCCCATCTATTAATCTTTTTAACAACTCTAGGTGGCATCTCAACAAGTGATATTTTTATATTTCTATATATACATTGTTTCAGATATGCAGCATAAGTTGGAGCAGGAACAGCAACAACGAAAGATGACAGAGGAGCGTTTATTGACAGTAGAGAAAGAGAAGAGTGGGTACTCAGTAGATTTACAGCAGTTACGCAATCAAGTTCAATCTTTACAGTCAGAACTAAAAAATGAAGCTGATAAAGTGAGTTGATATGTTAGTTATACAAGGACACCAAGGACAATGGTTGACCCCTCTTAAAGGTTATGCTATGCTATGATGGTATGGGTGAGCCAACTGATTGGTTTTCCCATTGATTGAAGTTACCTTAATATTAATATTATTAATTGATATGATTCTGGTCCAAAAACCTAGAATATTTGATGGGTTTTAAAAATTTAAGTAAGACATCTCATTATTCACTTGTCTAATAGTTAATTCAAAGCTAAATTTATATTTACTATGAGATTGTTCAATATCACATCATTAAGGAAGTTTTGTATTATTTTTCAGTCACGTAACTTATCACTTCAAGTAGAGCAGGAGATACAGCGTAGATCATTGATGCATTCAGATTATAAAAATCAGTCAGCGGATATCACTAAACTTAAATCAAAAGAGAAACTACTACAGTCGGTATGTTACACAATTCTCTTTTTTATACCCCCACAAACGAAGTTTAGGGGGTGTATATAGGAGTCAGCTTGTCGGTCCGTTGGTTGGTCCACATCATGGTTTCCGGACGATAACTAGAGTTTGGAATGATGTATTGTAATCAAACTTGGTATATAGCAACCTTATGTGGAAACTCAGGTTGGTGTATAGTAAGCTTATATGAAGACCTGGGTTGGTATTGCATTTAGACCCCCTGGGGTCAAGGTCACTGTTACTAAAAATAGAAAAATGGTTTCTGGACAATTACTAGAGTTAGGAATTAGATATTGTAATCAAACTTGGTGTATAGTAAGCTTATATGAAGACTCCGGCTGGTATTGTTTTTGGAACCCCTGGGGTCAAGATCAAGGTCACTGTTACTAAAAATAGAAAAACGGTTTCTGGACAATAGCTGGAGTTAGGAATGAGATATTGTAATCAAACTTTGTGTATAGCAAGCTTATTTTGAGACTCCAGTTGTGACTACAATTAATTGAAATATTTCTTTGTACACAGTTGATAGTTTGTGTTCAAATTTTTCTTCAGACTACTTTTTATACCCCTAAAAACGAAGTTTGGGGGGGGGTATATAGGAGTCACCTGGTGGTCGGTCGGTCCAGACGTCCGTTGCATTTTCCTTGTCCGGAGCATAACTTGAAGACTGATGGTTGGAATTCAATATAACTACATACAGTGGTCAAGCACATTGAGAGGAAGTGCAGTGCAGAAGAACCATAACTCTATCTTGACTAATTACAGAGTTATTGCCCTTTGTTACTTTTCCTTGTCCGGGGCATAACTTGAAAACTACTGGTTGGAATTAAAAACAACTTCATACATTTGTCACAGACAATAAGGGGAAGTACAGTGCACAAGAACCATAACTCTATCTAAAGTAATAACAGAGTTATTGCCCTTTGTTACTTTTCCATTGCTTTCTTTTGTCCGGACCATAACTTGAAGACTAATGGTTGGAATTCATTATAACTTCATAGAATGGTCAAGCACATTGAGAGGAAGTGCAGTGCACAAGAACCATAACTCTATCTTGACTAATTACAGAGTTATTGCCCTTTGTTACTTTTCCTTGTCCAGAGCATAACTTGAAAACTACTGGTTGGAATTAAAAACAACTTCATACAATTGTCAAACACAATAAGGGGAAGTGCAGTGCACAAGAACGATAACTCTATCTAAAGTAATTACAGAGTTATTGCTGTTTGTTACTTTTCCATTGCATTCTTTTGTCCGGACCATATCTTGAAGACTAATTATTCATTATAACTTCATACAATGGTCAAGCACATTGAGAGGAAGTGCAGTGCTCAAGAACCATGACTCCATTTTGACTTATTACAGAGTTACTGCCCTTTGTTACTTTTCCTTGTCCAGAGCATGACATGAAAACTACTGGTTGGAATTCAAAACAACTTCAAACAATGGTCAAGCACAATAAGGGGAAGTGCAGTGCACAAGAACCATAACTCCATCTTGACTAATTACAGAGTTATTGCCCTTTGTTACTTTTCCATTGCTTTTTTTGTCCGGAGCATAACTTGAAGACTTATGGTTGGAATTCAATATAACTTCATACAATGGCCATGCACATTGAGAGGAAGTGCAGTGCACAAGAACCATAACTCCATCTTGACTAATGACAGAGTTATTGCCCTTTGTTACTTTTCCTTGTCCAGAGCATAACTTGAAAACTACTATTTGGACTTCAATACAACTTCATACAGTTGTCAAGGACATTAAAAGGAAGTGCAGTGCACAAGAGCCATAACTCCATTTTAACAAAATACAGAGTTACTGCCCTTTGATACTTTTCCTTGTCCGGAGCATAACTTAAAAGGTACTGGTTGGAATTCAAAACAACTTCATACAATGGTCAAGCACAATAAGAGGAAGTACAGTGCACAAGAACTATAACTCCATCTTCAGTATTTATAGAGTTATTGCCCTTTGTTCCTTTTCCTTGTCTCTGGACTTATTACAGAGTTATTCAATAAAACTTCATCAATGGCCAACCATGTTGAAAGGAAATGCAACATACAAGAACCACAACTATCTTTAATTGCCCACAACCATAACTCTATATTTCAATTCTTTTACAAGGTATTCTGTTACTAGTTTTTTATAACTTCAAAATTTGTTTCCAGTTATACTTATCAAATGAAGCTTAAGAACTTGAAATAGTTGGTTAGGCTAGACAATTACCTTAAATAGCTTTCATACATTAACGTTAAATGTTTTTAAGAAATTTTGAAGTAAAAATGTTGATAGTGAGTGTGATGATAATATGTTTGATGTTTTTAGGATATTGAAGTTGTACAGAAAGAGAAGTACACCCTGGAAGAAGAAATAAGAAAATTAAAAGAGTGAGTTATTTAGTTTTAGATATGTACTTTGTGAAAGTCAGTTTTTATGGCCCTGAAGGGCGGCATATAGAAATCACACCGACCGTCATTCTGTCCCTGCGTCCCCACTTACACAACATTAGTGTCCGGACTGTAACTTTGTCATGCATTGAGGGATTATAAAATAACTTGCCTTAAATGTCTAACACATCAAGATGATGTGTCACGTTTAAAAACCACGTCCCTACCTCAAAGGTCAAGGTCACTCTCATAGTTTGAAGGTTCACATTCTCACAATGAGAGTCTTAAGGTACACACATTCGTGTCCTGACTGTAACTTTGTCATGCATATATCTGAACTTTTATTTTCGTTCATTAATTTGAAGGAAGAATTGCTAATTTCATCTCTGGTTCAACACTCGATAAGATGGTAAATTATTGGAAAAAATATCTAATTTTGCAACTTTTTACATGAACATGATGATTCTACCCATGTCCCAGCTCATATAAAGCAGATTTACTTTTTGTAACCAAGCTGTGCAACTGCAAATTATATATATATTAAATGTTTTATAGGGAGATGTCATTAAATGATTTACAAATGAAGGAACTTCAGGATCAACTGGAAGCAGAACAATATTTCTCTGTATGTAGTCTTCTTATTAATTACCTAAACCCCTTGTTATAAACCATCTTTACTACATTGAACTGTAGGGGTTTCCTTATTGTTTATGTATTTTATTGACAACAAAGGTCATTTTGTACATTAATTCTTTTGAATGGACAATTATATGAAATGATTTGTCTTAAAATAACATATTTAATTTTTAGAAAAGCTGAAGGTCGCATTAAGGTTATTGACTTCAAACCACAAGTATTCAACAACACCTGTCAGTTTAAATATTTTCATTGGTATTAAGATTTTAATACAAGTGAACATTCCTTCCAAATTGTAATAAATAAAGTTAAATTATTAATGTTATACTGATAATACTTGCATAGGTATTTTAAAGTAGATTTTGATATTATCAGGTATATATAGAGGATATTTGTTTAGTTCAGTGTAAGATCGGAATATATTTCACCGAGTGAGTACCAAAAGGTATATTTCACGAGTGGCGTAGCCACGAGTAAAATATGAACTTTTGGTGTTCACAAGGTGAAATATATTTCGATCTTACACTAAACTAAACAAATTTTCTTTTTATTATATGCAAAGAAACGTTTTAAAAAGACATTAAACCTGATACTGAATGAAAAGCGCGTCAAATAATAATACAACGTGATGTCATTTACGACATCACTACATTAAGTTGGTACCCAGTTTTGTGCACGCTGGTATTTCACTGAAACAACGTAAGGGGCTTAAATTCAAAACAGTGAAATATCAAAGTGGTAATTTCACTGTTTCAAACAGTGAAATTACCAGTTTTATATCACTGATATATTTCTATAAACCACCGAAAAGCATGTAATAAAAAGCTTGTAAACCTTTTATACAGATGTATATAAGCCAGAGTTATAGGACTCTTTTAGCCAGAGTAGTTAAGATTGCTGACTTCAAATTCATTAGCTTTTAACTGATGTTGGTTCGAATCCCATCAGGGACTTTGGATTTTTTTTTAATGTATAGAAGTATAGAAATTTTACCTTTATGATGTATTTTAAAGCAAGAAGACTTGATTTGCCTACTTAATTTTTGTATTTGGTCTGTGTATTCACCAAAAAGAGAAAGAAAATATAAGATATGTAATTCTATATTGCAGTCATTGTATAGAAATCAAGTTAAAGAGCTAAAAGATGAGATAGAAGGAAAGAATAAAAATTTACAAGATGCTCAGGCAGATCTCAAGAGCGTTGACCAAGAAAAGTAAGTCATGTCTTGCCAATTTTCCAATGCTATATTCTTTCCAGATTTCAAACTAATGAAATATGAAATATTCTGACTGTATATGTATTGAGTATACCGTTACAGACCTGTTATTGTTCTGAAATGTGAAATTCATATGGTAAATGCTGGTAAAATTAAGGAACACAAGAGCTGGTTTATATATGGCTGAAATGATGTTAGAATAGATGGCTAGACTCTTAGCCAGAGTAGTTCAAATTCATTAGCTTTTCACAGATGTTGGTTCGAATCCCGTCAGGGACTTTGAATTTTTTAAATGTATAGAAGCTATCCAGCTGGCATATGAAAGGTTGGTGGTTCTATTTAGGTCCTCTCTTATGCCTGAGCTAAGATTTGACAAAAGAAAATTAAGAATAAGAATGATATAAAATTTTGTAAACCAAATATTTTGTATTAACAGGGATTCTCTAGGTGGACAGTTACAGCTTGCCATGGCAAAGGCAGATTCAGAGCAACTTGCTAGAACTATTGCTGAGGAACAATTATCTGATGTAGAAAAAGAAAAGACAATGTTAGAACTAGAAATTAAAGAAATTCTTTCAAGGCATAAAAGTGAACTAAACAAAAAAGAAAGTGTGATATCAATGGTAGGTATCTTCATTATCTAGATAACAGAACTGAGCTTATTTTTAGTAAGTAACTTAATGTAACTTTCATTAAAATTTGGATTGGTCTTGCAGTCAATGCTGATTACTGTAACATTTAAGGTTGTTTTGTTGACCACATACATATATATGGATAGATGGCAGTATGGAGATTATGCACGTCTTTTTTTTTCTTCCTATGTTGAAAATTCTGGTTGCTATGGCAACAAATAGTCTGAAAATATGGCAAATTTAACACATAAACTGGATCCAGTGATAACTTAAAAAGTACTGAAAATATTTTTATGAAACTTAAAATATGGGTAGATGGCAGTCTGGAGATTATGCACATCTTTTTCTTTTCTTCCTATGTTGAAAATTCTGGTTGCTATGGCAACAAATAGCCTGAATTTCAAGATTTCTGATTTAAATTGTTCAGCTTTTTCACTGTAAGTTCCTTATTTCTTAAGGTGTTTACTTCAAACTTTAAATATAAGTTTTTGGTCATCAACCACATCATATGTGACAAGGTTTACAACTCTATTACAAAAATTATCAGTATTACCTCCCTTGAACTTAGAATTTTTATGAAAAAAAAAATGTTGTCTTTTTTAAATAACTTCTTTATTTCCTAATGTATCTACTTCAAACTTCATATATATGTTTCTTATTATCACTCAACATTTTTGAGAAGGTTAAATACTCTAGCAAGACTATTTCCAGAATTATGTCCCCCTTGAACTTAGATTTTTTTGGAGAAATTGGTATTTTTCTTTCCCCCTCTTCATTCCTTATAGGATTTACTTTAAAATACCACATTGTAATAATATGACAAGGTTGTAAAAACAATTTCTTTACTAGGCAGGGAAACTTAACACATTACTGTGATATAGACAAACTTAGAACTCAAAAGATATAAGTTCATTCATATCATTCATTCACTGGTAAAATTGAATGGCCAATGGCCCATCAGAATGTTGCTGGGGTTCAAACCGGTAGGGGACTTATGGATTGCTTGCAATACTATGATAATTGCTTGTTTAATGATAATATATCTACATGTGAATAATATATGAGCCGCGTCACGACAAAACCAACGTAATGCTTTTGCGACCAGCATGGATCCAGACCAGCCTGCGCATCCGCGCAGTCTAATCAATCAGGATCCATGCTGTTCGCTAACCAACCCTATTACAAGTAGAGAAACTGATAGCGAACAGCATGGATCCTGATCAGACTGCGCGGATGCGCAGGCTGGTCTGGATCCATGCTGGTTGCAAACGCACTATGTTGGTTTTTGTCATGACGCGGCTCATATCTACATGTGACGTGTTAAGTGTCTATATGAAAATTACAATAAGAATAAAACATATTGATATATTTGTTTATTATCTTCACAGTTAGAGGAAACTAAGAGAGAATATGTGAAAAGTGTTGAGTCGTTACAAAATGAAAAAGATGATTTGAATAACAGACTTAAAAAATTGACAGATGGTAAGATATTTTACTTGGTTTGTTTTAAATTAATGTATTTTTTCATGTGAAAAAGAAAGCAACAAAATCCCATGTGGAGATTTATAAATTTAATTGCACTTAGAACATGTGTTATTAGTTTGTCTGTTTTGAGGAAAAATGTCAAGCTAATATGGTCGCTACTGCTTTGTTGTCATCATGCAAAAACTTTAATGTAAACCATTATTCAAACATTTCAAAAAGTATTGTCATGAAACTTGAAATACCTGCTTATTACAGCATGGTGCATTTTTTAGACTAGTGGCGTAATTCTGAAAGCAATGTTTTTGGAGCTTTGCCCTTTTTTAACACAGAAATTGTAACAAAAAAGCGATAACGCGGCATGCAGTACTCTTGTATTTAGTGTGTTATATATAGTACAGTTATTTTTATATAATAGTAAATTTAACCTTTCTTAATGGGGCATTTCATGATATGCTGTCTTAATATGGTTACTGCTCATTAAGTTGAAACTGATTTTTAGCCAGCACTACAAAGCTATTTACCTCTGCGACAAAACATATTCTTTCAATATATTTCTTCTTATAGACATACGCAATATACAGGCCAAACCTGTTGTAACAGATGACATGGAGAAATTAAAGAAGAATCTTATAGAGGAGAAAATGAAGAAAGAACAAGCCGTAAATAAATTAGCAGAGATCATGAACAGAAAGGGTTTCAATAACCAAGGAATCAAGAAAAACCATGCATCTGCACAGGAACTTAAGAAAAAGGAGAAAGAATGTAGGAAGTTACAGCAAGAACTAAGCATGGTGAGAAAAATATGACTTTTCATTATCCTGTACATTAATAATTAGTCTACTTTGAGGACCGTATATTTATTTATATTTAATTTCAGTCTACACATTTGCCTTTCTGGTATGAATGTGCAGTCAGGGTGTTTTTAGTGATTTGACTGTTTATCATGATAAGGTCTTCAATAGAATTTTGTTTTGAAAATTTTCATCTTATCATTGATAACAATTACTTGATTACAGTGTTCTGATTGAAGTAAGTTATCACCTTCTTTGCTCAACAGAAGCTGTCAGTGCAGCTGGCATCAACTGTATTATACAAGATTTATTATGCAAACTGGATTGAAGCTGAAATTGATAGAGAACTATTATATAAACTTTTAAATAAATATTTGATAGTAATCCAATAAATGCTCGAATTAGTTTTATGTTTAAACGTGATTTTTCTTAACATATTTATAAATCATTTCATACTTTTTTATAGGAAAGAGAAAAATATAGCAAAATGGTAGAGAAATATCAACGAGACCTCAGTGAAACCCAAGCTGCGCTATACGAGGAGGGTCAATTACGCAATAAACTTCAAATGGAGCTTGACTCGAAGGACAGTGAGATCGAGCTTCTACAACAGAAACTTGTTGTTACTAACCTTGACACAGCATCTATACATAGTGGTAGTCTGGAGGACGGTGATATGTCCCTCAGTATACATAACTCTAGCATATCATCAGGTACGTTGAATGTTATAATGTTCGATTGCAGGATTTCTTTTTCTTCGTTATTTAGTTGCTGTGGATATGTGGATCTCAAATATATATGGATTTCAAAACGTACATAATATTTAGAGATAGTTAAAAATAAAATACATGTAAACATTGAATGAAAGCAAAAGATATATCATGAATGGTACATTACTTTTATTGAGCTGTCAGTGATAACAATATAAAATTAAATTGAAATCAGATGATCATAAAATTCAACTTGACTATTAAAATAAAAACTCTAGGAAGAAAATTCAAGAGTTTATGTAGGTATAGGTGTCAAGTTTACATTAAATTTCAATCTTTTAATTTTGTAAAGGTCACTTAAGAAGAAATTCTGTGCAAATTTTTATATCTTTATTATATTTTATAAAAAAGAATGACAAGAAATATGCTTTTGAATGTTTAGGTATATTATATTACACTGTTACAGCATCTGACAGTCATATGGAAGGATGGTTATCAGTCCCTAACAAACAAAACATCAAGAAATATGGCTGGAGGAAACAATATGTGGTAGTCAGTTCACGGAAAGTTCTCTTCTACAATAATGAGGCAGAGAAACAGAAAGCTGCTCCAGTACTTATCCTTGATATTGAGTACGTATTTTTTTGTCTTATATTTCTCTGTGTAATAAATTTGATGTACAGTTTATTCGGAACAGTATACAAAAGTTTCTGGACTTTAATGTCAGAATACAAAAATTGAACAAGAAATTCTTTTCAAAGAATCATAATGTTTGGCATAACATTCATGTCATTCTGAGATAACAACAACAACAAAAGAGTGCGATAGAACAGAAAACCTTTACAAGCTGAGAGCCTTTGCTACGAGTATAGAGCCAGGCTAGCCTGCAGTCTATGACTTTACTGTTGCCTCTGGGAGTCAAGATGTTAATATTTAACAATTCATGAATTATTACCTCACTGGTAATGTATTAAAAGTGATATAAATTTTACATTTTTCCCTCTTCAGAAAATTATACCATGTTCGGTCTGTGACACAGGGAGATGTTTATAGAGCAGATGCTAAAGATATTCCAAGAATATTCCAGGTAATATGTTGATAATATACTGGTACACATTAAACATTTAGTAAATTGACTGAACCATGTGTCTACTTGCTTGTGCCTGAAAATACTGTATGGAGATATTGTATCTAGATGTCTTCCTCCAGGAGTTTGGAGCTGGAAAGTTTCTATTTGACTTTAACGTAGTATCTGTTTGATTTAATATTCATCCAGCCAAACCATTGAAAAGAGGATGTAGGATTTTGTCTTGGTGGAACATATACATGTTATTTCAGTATAAGATATGAGCCAAAATTTTTAGTTTTCATTTTAAAATGTAAATATATGTATGTTTGCAGGTGTTGTATGCAACAGAGGGGGAGAATAGAAAATCAGAGGAGAGTCCTCTAGATATTAGTCTTCAGCAGGTAACATTCTTGATATTACAAGATTTTTATGCTCTCTGGACATTCATTTAGGTAAAGCATTTAGTTGCTGGTTGATCCCTCCTTCCATCTGTCACATTGTCTCTCATAGCACCTTCAGCTTAGATATTTGCTATAGTATTTTCGTTTCACCTTTTGTTGCAGTTTTTAGCAATTTTGATCAAGGTAACTGAGGCTAGAAAATATGAGGGTGTATCAATTTTTTTATGCAATATGAATTTTCTAATTAAGCTTGTGATTCTTGTTTATGTGTTAACTATGCTATGCTGCAAGGCATCTGCTTTCAAATGAAAATCAAAATTTTGTGTATAGCCAACCAATTAAGTATGTAAATAATACCTTACAAGAAATTAAATATTATCATGATTTTGGAAGGTATTTTATAAGAAATATCCAAAGGGGTTAGATTTTAGCAGATGTGATATTGTGTTGTTACTTTTTCAGCCAAAAGCTGGTACTATAGAGTATAAAGGTCATGAGTTTTTAGAGTTACATTTCCGTACGCCCACCACATGTGATTCATGTAACAAACCAATGTGGCATATGTTACATCCTCCACCGGCTATGGAATGTAGACGTAAGTATTGTTGCTTAGTTACGTTTCACAATAATTTATACACAGTACCCCTTTGTTATTATGTAAACATTGTGTTGACTTTAAATAAAAACCATAATCATTAATTGAATTTTAATTTAAATTGAATGCATCTTCACATCATCCAGAATTATTTGTTAGCATAATTACCTAAGTTAAATATTTTACAAGGAATTGTAACTATTAGTAGCCCAGGATGAGAAATCAAGAAAGATTTCATTTTCATAGAGAGGCACTACATTGGGCCAGCTACATGAGCTATTGAACATTGCTATTTTCATAAAGTGTATGGGTAGTAAATGATTGATATATAGTGACATTATAAATATGATATATTTCAGGATGTCATACTAAAGTACATAAAGACCATTTTGACAGGAAAGAAGAGTTTCTCGCATATTGTAAAGGTAAGTAAAAAATTCATTTATCTCTTTTTTACTTTTCAATGTATGCCATTAATTTTATAATCAAAAGATTAGACTTGTAATATTTTACCATAAAAATTAGTATTGAATTAAAGGACATAAACCCTCATGATATCTGTATCTGATAGTTTGACTCCAGATTTTATTGATATCATATTATATTAGGTCATTGTTTTGTAATGCAGATTTGTATTATATTCTAGTAAACTATGATCAAAACATTCAAGCCAAGGAGCTTTTACTGCTAGCTGAATCAGCTGACCTCCAGAAACAATGGGTACTTCACCTCAGCAAGAAAATTTCCAAGAAAGGAATTGTCAGTTCTGGTGGAACATTAGGGTATGTATATGTTCTGTGAAGCTATAATTACCATATTTTTGTTCCATTCAGCTGCACGTGAAAGCATGGTATGTCATCCAAAAAGTTGAAGTTCAATCAAGTTCTTTTGTTTATTTTTGTTAAATTATATGTGATAATACTGTTGAAACAGGTTTAACTAGAGGGTGAAATGTTGTTGAAATAGTTGATATTTTTAGGATGTATAAAGATGGCATGATTTTGATTCACAGACTTGCATGTGTTTAAATATTTTGATGACAACTTCAGAGATACTGGCATGATTTATAGGGTAGGAAATGAGAGAGAAACGTCTGTGTGTGTAGAAATGATTAGGATATGAGCACTACAATATTCTTGTCTCATTTTGAAATCCTACGTAAAAATTCTCCAAAACCATTTAATAAGATACCTTGATTTACTGGTATTAAAGATAATAAGTTACATTTGTTTGTTGGTTGCAGAAGTAAAGATAATGTCTTAATTTTTTGTTGGGCAGAAATAAAGATAATATCTTGTATTTATTGGTTGAGCAGAAATAAAGACAATATCATAAATTTGTTTGTTTACGTAAAGATAATATGTTATATTTATTTGTTGGGCAGAAATAAAGATAATATTTTACATTTGTTTGTTGGGCAGAATAAAAAAATAAAATACATTTGTTGGGCAGAAATAAAGATAACATCTTACATTTGTTTGTTGGGCAGATATCCATTTTTAAGTCAATTCTTTATGAAAATGGTAATATTTTTAAAAAATAAGTATACAGAAACCATTATATTTCTAAATCATATTCCTCACAGTATTAAAACACTTTAAAAAAATCTTTAATTTTATGACAGTGTCACAAATTGGGAGACAGTTTATTTTGATGATGACAGTGAGAAATTGTTCAGCTTCTGAATACAGAGCTGATATTTGTACATGTAATTAATTTTTCCTAAATTCTAGCATTTTTACTTTGTCACTTGAGCTTAGTTTTCACTTTCTAAAAATTTCACTCTAAAATTAGGAAGACTAATAATGCTTATTGCCTCAGTGGCACTTTATATAGGAAAGGTTATCTTTTTACTTGATTTAACATAACTTTAGAATTTTTTTATTGTTTCCTTGTATTTTAGAGTCGGAAAACCACTATTTTTGGAGTTTGGGTAGGCAATATAAAAAAAAATGCCTGGGCTTATATTATCTTGGCTAGTTTATAGTTTTCATCAATCTAGATGTGTTCCTAGCAGAATTTTGCCAAAGGCTTGCAGCATTGATAATGAATTAAGCTTTCAGTTTCGTGAAACTCTGCATACTTTTAATATAGAATTTGCATCAATTAAAAATTTAAACAGCTTTAATAAAAATGAGAAAACAGGGATGCTAAGTGATGTACAAGTCATATTCAATGATTTTTCTAAAGTTCTTGTTAATTTACAATATGATCAAGACCTTTATGACAGTTTTTTTTTTTTTTTTATGAATTTGCTTTAAGTTAGTGAAAAAAGAAAGAAAAAACAACAAAAAACACAACAACAACATTGATAAAAGTAGTCATAGTCATATACTATGTGAATTATGTTTTGTAATAAATTAAGATGATAGACAACGAGAAATCAGATAATTAATTTGTTCTAACACACTTTTAGACATGAAATGAGCCGCGTCACGACAAAACCAACATAATGGGTTTGCGACCAGCATGGATCCAGACCAGCCTGCACATCCGCGCAGTCTGATCAGGATCCATGCTGTTCGCTAACAGACCCTATAACAAGTAGAGAAACTGATAGTGAACAGCATGGATCCTGATCAGACTGCGCGGATGCGCAGGCTGGTCTGGATCCTTGCTGGTTGCAAACCCATTATGTTGGTTTTGTCATGGCGCGGCTCAAATAGACTTTAAATGATGTCGTTATTATTCAATGTAACTGTTTATTTCAATGTTACGTGTTTATACTTTTCTCTTTTTTATTTAACAATTACCCTTAAAGAAATGCCTGTAAATTATTATTTGTGGTAATTTCAGTATGCATTTGTGAATGACTCACATATTGGATGGGTAGATATTTGATATGCACAGTCACGTAAATTTGGGTCTGCTCACTGTTGTCGTGATTAAAGCAAATTCCTTTCCCATATTTATTTTTGTTTCAAGGCAATATTTGGGAGTTTTGTTATATATGGACAACATTATGCTTATTCTTTTGCAGTAGATTTTTTGTGTGTGCGTGTTTGTATAAAACTTTGCAAATAAAAACCCACTAGTTTTCTCTTTTATACTCAACTTTTGGTGTGTTAAATATTGAAGAAATGTAATACTCAACTAGGTATCTGCAGAATTGTTGATTTTCAACTTTGATTTAATGAAATAATTTTCCCGTTTATGTCATGAAACATGAACTTATAATATCTATATATAATTTGCTTTTTAAGTAGGTTTATGTCATGATCTGCCATAAGAATAGAGGTCATGATGGGTCTCCTAATAAGTTTTGTGGCATGTTTTCTGGGTACATATATTCTTGGAAATATTATTTTCTGCCCTATTGTACTGTATGAAGTATTTGCTTGCAAAGACAACTTCTCAACTTGAAGCAATCTGTACTGTGACCCTGTAATCAGCTTGATTACAGTACATTTGTCACATAATAATAAGGCTTAAAATGTATAATTGGGCTCAAAAACATCTATAATCCAAGCCTAATTCTCATTTTATTGAAAGTTGGCAGTTCCTTGCTAAGTTCTGGTAAAAGCTGTCCAAGAATGTTAGATGTACTGCCCGTTGGTATAGAACTCTGAATGGCTTGATTATTGAATGAGCTTGAATAGTGGAGCATGCAGTCTTCCCAAATAATCCTACTGAATGTGTAGTGATGTTTTTGCTTATATTTTGGTTATTTTGTATCAGACTTAATTTTGCTTTAAAAGGTTGTTGCAGAAAAGAAAATGAAGTTTTGGTAAGCAACGGCCATGTAACACATGTTAACAAATTATATTATAAATTAATCACATGTATCCAAAAAGTGAACTTTTCATTCAAGGTTGTAATTATGCCCCCATTTCGAAGAAAAGGGGGTATATTGCTTTGCACTTGTCGGTCCGTCGGTCCGTAGACCAAATGGTTTCCGAGTGATAACTAAAGAACCCTTAGGTCTAGGAACTTCAAACTTGGTATGGTGATTGGTCATGACCAGTAGATGACCCCTATTGATTTTGGGGTCAAGGGGTCAAAGGTCAAGGTCACATTGACCTTGAAAGCAGAAACGGTTTCCGATCAATAACTAAAGAACCTTAAGGCCTAGGAACTTCAAACTTGGTATGGTGATTGGTCATGACCAGTAGATGACCCCTATTGATTTTGGGGTCAAGGGGTCAAAGGTCAAGGTCACATTGACCTTGAAAGCAAAAACGGTTTCCGATCAATAACTAAAGAACCTTAAGGCCTAGGAACTTCATACTTGGTATGGTGATTGGTCATGATCAGTAGATGACCCCTATTGATTTTGGGGTCAAGGGGTCAAAGGTCAAGGTCACATTGACCTTGAAAGCAAAACCGGTTTCCGATCAATAACTAAAGAACCTTAAGGCCTAGGAACTTCAAACTTGGTATGGTGATTGGTCATGATCAGTAGATGACCCCTATTGATTTTGGGGTCAAGGGGTCAAAGGTCAAGGTCACATTGACCTTGTAAGCAAAAACGGTTTCCGATCAATAACTAAAGAACCTTAAGGCCTAGGAACTTCAAACTGGGTATGGTGATTGGTCATGACCAGTAGATGACCCCTATTGATTTTGGGGTCAAGGGGTCAAAGTTCAAGGTCACATTGACCTTGAAAGCAAAAACCGTTTCCGATCAATAACTAAAGAACCTTAAGGCGTAGGAACTTCAAACTTGGTATGGTGCTTGGTCATGATCAGTAGATGACCCCTATTGATTTTGGGGTCAAGGGGTCAAAGGTCAAGGTCATATTGACCTTTTAAGCAAAACCGGTTTCCGATCAATAACTAAAGAACCTTAAGGCCTAGGAACTTCAAACTTGGTATGGTGATTGGTCATGATCAGTAGATGACCCCTATTGATTTTGGGGTCAAGGGGTCAAAGGTCAAGGTCACATTGACCTTTTAAGCAAAAACGGTTTCTGATCAATAACTAAAGAACCTTAAAGCCTAGGAACTTCAAACTTGGTATGGTGATTGGTTATGACCAATCAGATGACCCCTATTGATTTTGGGGTTAAGGGGTCAAAGGTCAAGGTCACATTGACCTTGTAGGTAAAAACGGTTTCCGATCAATAATGAAAGAACCCTTAGGCCTTGGGACTTCAAACTTGAGATGGTGATTGGTCATGATCAGTAGATGACCCCTATTGATTTTGGGGTCAAGGGGTCAAAGGTCAAGGTCACATTCACCTCTTCGGTAAAAACGGTTTCCGATCAATAACTAAAGAACCCTTAGGCCTAGGAACTTCAAACTTGGTATGGTGATTGGTCATGACCAGCAGATGACCCCTATTGATTTTGGGGTTAAGGGGTTAAAGGGCAAGGTCACATTGACCTTGTAGGTAAAAATGCTTTCCGATCAATAACTTAAGAACCCTTATGCCTAGGAACTTCAAACTTGGTATGGTGATTGGTCATGACCAGCAGATGACCTATTGATTTTGAGGTCAAGAGGTCAAAGGTCAAGGTCACATTGACCTTGTAGGTAAAAACGGTTTCCGATCAATTTACTAAAAACGCTTAGGCCTAGGAACTTCAACCTTTGTGTGATGATTGGTCATGACCAGCAGATGACCCCTATTGAGTTTTAGGTGAAGGGGTCAAAGGTCAAGGTCACATTGACCTTGTAAGTAAAAACGGTTTCTGATCAATAACTCAAGAACACTTAGGCCTAGGAACTTCAAACTTGGTATGGTGATTTGTCATGAGCAGCAGATTACTCCTATTGATTTTGGGATTAAGGGGTCAAAGGTCAAGGTCACAATGACCTTGTAAGTAAAAACGGTTTCTGATCAATAACTAAAGAACGCTTCGGCCTAGGAACTTCAAACTTGGCATGGTGATTGGTCATGACCAGCAGATGACCCCTATTGATTTTGGGGTCAAAGGTCAAGGTCACATTGACCTTGTATGTTAAAACGGTTTCCGATCAATAATAAGAGAACCCTTAGGCCTAGGAACTTCAACCTAGGCATGGTGATTGGTCATGACCAGCAGATGACCCCTATTGATTTTGGGGTCAAGGGGTCAAAGGTCAAGGTCACATTGACCTTGTAGGTAAAAACGGTTTCTGATCAATTTACTAAAAAACGCCTAGGCCTAGGAACTTCAAACTTTGTATGATGATTGGTCGTGACCAGCAGATGACCCCTATTGAGTTTTGGGTCAAGGGGTCAAAGTCATGACCAGTAGATACTTTATAACCCTTATTAATTGTTTGATCACTGGGTCAGAAGTCATGCATAATAACCTTATCACATGACTAATTGGCTGCTGATAGGGGGCATACATGTTTTACAAACATATCTTGTTACACTTTGACACAAACATTTAATGTCATAAATATTATTAGTTCACCTGAGATAGCATGTTTGTCTATGTTACCAACAATTTGTTTAAACAACATTTACAATGCATTCTCTCCTCAGAAATTTCAAATCCCACAGCATAGTTACACAATGTATTTGGTATTTAGCATCATCTTGTAGTCCCCTACAAAAATTGCATAACTTTTTATATAGATTTAAATGGTTTTATCTGACCGTTTAGATCCATGTCTTAGAATATCTCATTTAAATTTTCTTTAAACTTTAAAAGCAGTAATGTTTATATGAATAGGAATTTGAGAATCTCCAAATTTCATGACAGACTTATATAAAAAAAAACTTAAATCTTTTATTTGAGCCTCATGGCATTAATCTTACAAAGTGTTCATGTAGCATTGCCTGGTGTACTAACAAAATGAAATGATGGCCCTTGCGGTTGGGTAAAAAATGGTTTTCCCCAATGCAACTCAATTTCTGCATTGAAGAATTCTAATTTTTTCTAACAAAGGATCTCAAGTGAGCAATTATAGGCCACTTGTTATTTCTGAAGTTTTAATATAATGACATTGATAAATTTAGATAAAACAAATATCAAATTGTCACTTTCTGAACTTTGTGATGGACTCTTTTTCCCCCCAACCATTTCAATTTGGATGGAATGTTTCATTTTGACTTTAACTTGAATATTTTAACATACGCTGTATTGATACCCAAGATTGAATTTAATTCTTGTCACAAATGTTCATGAAAATTATCTTGTTTCATATACAGGTTAAGGGATATTTTAGCCACTGTTTTGGTTTTCATTTTGATTTTCAGGACCTGGTTTATTTATTCTGATTATCTACCAAGCAATTACTTTTTCCATTTTTGTAGGGTTAAGGGTTTTTGTAGAAATTTCTTTTTGTTATATTTTTTTCAATGTACAATTGTGTGACACTATATTATATAAGAGACTTCATATTTTAAAAATTTACTTTTTACTGTATACTTTATAAAGTTTTTATATAACATGAAAGGGAATGAACTGTTCTTATCATTTATAATGTAACAATATTTCTTATAGTAATCTGATGCAAAAGTCCCCTAATATGCTTCAGTTAATGTTTTCACAATGCATGATAAAACAAAACAGATAACTGCAGATTTTTATATCAAACATTATAGATTAATTGAGTCATATATGATATATTATGTATACTATTTTTCATTCATTATTGCAGGTCATCAAATAGGAACACAAAGCAGTATTCGTCATTTGGGGCCGCCAACCGTACTGTAAGATCAAGCTCATCAGCTACTCTACCTCCAAACTCAAGACCTAACTTACAGTAACATCTACTACAAAACTTTCTTATATTCAACAGAACAATTTTGAAAAACTAAAAAAAAAATCACCAGTGTTTAACCATGAGATAAGTACACCAGTGTAGCAGTATGTTTGTTAATATTTGAGCCATGTCACGACAAAACCAACGTAATCCACGCAGTCTGATCAGGATCCATGCTGTTCGCTGTTAGTTTATCCACTTGTAAAAGTGTTGGTAAGCGGACAGCATGGATCCTGATCAGACTGCGTGGAGGCGCAGGCTGGTCTGGATCCATGCTGGTCACAAACCCACTATGTTGGTTTTGTCGTGACGCGGCTCATTTATCATATAATTGATTACAAACCACACATGATTTATTACATTGTATGATGATTGTGGAAGTGGCATGGAGGTGTTTTACTGGCGTTCTAGGCTTGTATTTGCATTATGGATCTTCTATATCACACTCCACAAGACTAAGGTGTTCAAAAATGTCATATATTGCCTTCCTATACTCCTGTTTCAAAAATAAAAGTATGTATATTGGGATAACCCCTGATTGACAGTTGGGCAGGGCAATGTCCAGGCAACGACCTGTTTTTCTAGAGCCAAATTCAAACTTTGAGATCAGGTACAAATATGAAAATGCATGTATGTACAATTTGGTAGTCTTTAGGGAATATGTTACAAATGGCCACAATCATGAAAGCATAATTAAGATCAATAAGCAAGGTAAAGAACATCAAAGATAAGGAAATGCCCAAATTTTATTTGTAGGATATATTCTACATGTATGGATGGGTTTAGGTATTACTTGATGCAAATGTTCATTGCATGAGATGTAGTGCTACACGCATATGAACCATGACTCAAGGTCAGAGGTCAAGGTCACACCTAAATCAGAGAACAGTGCTTGTCTGGAGAAAGTCTTCCACTTGCATTGAGGGATGATTGTAAATGTTTAATACATTTATTATGAGACTGAATATTTGTGACAGGCATATTTTAGTTGAATTTGCTGTCTTGTTTATAATAGACAAAACAAAAAGGGCATTAATAAAAAAAAACATAAAGAAGGCAAAACCTTTCTCAGATATTGTTAGTTCATCCTGATGTGGTCTTAACATTATAATTGTTATGATAAAATTACTTCAGTTCTTTTTGTAGACATTCAGATTATGAAATTAGCCTCTTTATGTTCCAGAGTTTAACAATAAATCATTAAATCACCATCAGTCGTACACATTCCAATAGAATAAAAACACACACTGTGCTATTTTTAGTTTAGCTAGATTTAGGACCATTTTATTGTATGTAAACATTATATTTTAGTGGCCTTGTATGTTTTACATTATTTTTCCCCCCAAGTGTTATATATTAAGTAATTTAAATGGTGCTTCTCTATCCTGTGAAGTGTGATGATTTTTTTTTTTTTTTTATGATAGTGATTCTCCACATTGTCAGTTCACCATTGCCTTAATATCACAAACTTGTTCATAGGCCAGTTCTCTTTGTTACATGAATGTGGATTGAAAAAAATACTTGAATACATGTGTCTGTTAAATTAATGATGAGCAAAAACTTTAATCTCAGATTGTCTAAGTTTGAAATGTTATAGATTTTTTATCGGTTCAAAGGGTGTATTTGTCTGAATGAGGTATGAAAAATTTTCAAAAAAATCTTAATATGTCTGTACATCATACAATGTATCTGTATAAACATATTTCTAATATTTCTAGTTCTTCTGCTTTATTAAATTGTTTACAAAGACCAAAAAATAAATTAAAAGTTCCAAATATGCAATCAAAAATTCGCGTTCCGAATGCATTTCATTGCTTTTTTTGCATTTTTTGTATAGTATAACTTGGGTAATGTACAGTTGTAAATTACCATATAATTAATTGTGTCTTTTTCACTAACTTCACTAAGGTGATCCTGTTTATAGAGTTTTCTCACTCAATGGCATGTTCATAATGGACATTTGTTTCATTAATGTTTTTCTTTTTCATACCCTCTGGTGATAGTGCAATTTGTGATAAAACTTTGTATGATGTATTTTTTAATTATGAATATATGCAAATTAAGCTTGTGCATTTTGTGATGCTATTTTTGTATGAAGCCTGGCATTAAATGTACAATTTCCTGACCTACCTATATATATGTAATAGATATGTCTTGCATTGTATGTGGAGCCTATAGCCTGCTGGCGGCAATCAGTGCTACCCATTCATTTAGTTCAGATGAAGATCAGTTTGCACATCTGCCATGGTCTGCACCATTTGTTATTTTGACAATTTCTTCAAAATTGATGAAGGGTCAAGTCCAAATTGAAAGATGGACAAGTCCATTTAAGATATTTAGCATGATAATGTTTAATTTCAGCGAATATTAAATTCAAACAAGCCTGTCAGGGGCAAACCGTTGTTTCCTTGAGCAAGAAACTTTACATTCATTACTTAGTACTGGTTGGTTTCAGGAATGGATTCGAGAGTGTTTCAATAAGCTTATAGCTTCCAACACAAACTGAAATAAATTTGTATAAACTTAAAAAAGCAAAACTAAATTGTCAAAAGTAAAACATGGTCACTCTACATGATAAGTGCCGGGTCAAACTGAATAGTTAACTATTGCTCGATACAGGTGGGATATGCTGGTACTGCTTCATTGTGTAATGTTGTCTTACCGGTATATTACATTTTATAGATCATGTATAAAAGAAGGAAGTTAAACATTAAACTATGCAATAATAAAGAGAGTCAGATTGCATGAAAAATGCAGTGAACAGAAACATAAGGAAATAATTGTTCCTGTTAAAATGTATGACAGTCATATTTTAGTCATTATAAAATCAACATTTGTCTAAGAATAAGAAGATGAAAGTTATTTTAATTAATCATGATACAATCTATTATTCAGAAATAAGGATTAATGTTTTCATTTATGAAAAGAATATTATTTTCAGATTTTTTTATAGATAATTGTTAAACAATGATCAATTAAAATGCATAATTAAATGTCTCAAATCTGTTTATCTAATATAATGTAACATGTATTTTTTTCTGAAATAACTAGAAAGTATATATCACATGTAAAAGTTTGTTAAAGGATGTAGGATTGTTGTTATTAACCAGTAGATTATGTAACTAATCATATTAAGCTTAATATTAGCATAATTTATGTGTTCAGTTGTTTGTTTTTTTTTATTCTAGGTTATTTTTTTAAACAAAATAATGGCATATTGTTGATATTGTTTGCATGGAAATGAATATAAAACTTTGTCTTTCATGTTGATGTGTAAATGTACATGTGAACTGTTGAATGACTTCACAAATATCAGGCATGTATAGAATTTTTTTTTAATTTGGACATTTTTGCTGCCGCTTTGATTTGGTTGAAATGGTAGATGTAGAGACACCCCATGTCTCATTCCATGGACAAAGCTGGATAGTTGCAATATAAGTTTCAAGGTCATTGGATATACTTCTAATGTTGTACAAGCTTACATGTTATATTTCTAATATCCGAATTTTCTGAATGCTTCATCTTTGAGTGATAATGGCAAATAGAAAAAAAAAAGTTTTAGGTTTCATCAGTTCAAATTCAGTTCCTGAAGGGGTTTGGGCAATGCATCATTAGGCATAGGGAATTTAACTACCAAGTGTTGGGTAGCCGTTAGATTCCATCTTTAACTATTTTAAAAAATTGCAAATGTTGGTTATTTTGTTGAAAATGTTAGACTATGTTCAAAGTTTACAATAGCTTAATAGTGCTGAAATTTGTTGTTGTATGTAACAATCTGGTGTTATATGTAAAAAAGTGTAAACATTGTTTTTGTCTTTGTACATATGTAAATATGTGTACATATACAAGTGGTTATACCTATATATATATTGTAACCGTAATGTATATTTATGTATACACTATAGAAACAGAATCATCATTTTTAGATCACGGTCATATTAACCAAATATCATAGATTTAAAGTTAAAGGGGTGATAGATCCTAGCTTACTGCTGTATTTACTGATAGAACATGACCACACAGATTTTCTTTTTATATTGACATACAATTTCCTGCTCATTTGAAATTTAAATTCCAAAATATTTGGATGTAAGTTAGCTTTTTGAAAATTCCAAAATCATGTTGAATAATTGTGCAGGAAATTGAAGTTTTGAATTAGTGTGTGAGGCAAGCAGTTTTTTTTATATTTTTTTTTTTATATTTTTTATGTTAGAATTGCAAGGTTAAAGGTTTTTAGAGATTTTTTGATATAGGTGGCGCCATAAAGTGTCTGTGTTATTTATATACACCAAACTGAGATTGTTAGTAAGATCTGTTCCTATTATTATCTCATCGAAGTGATAAAATACAGTTTCTTATTTCTCTTATTCTTAACACAGCTGAATTTCTAAATGATTTGCTTTGCTTTTGGTATTTGCAGTCTTCCATTATCAACCCTTAGTCGGCTGAATTTGTGTAATGGATTTTCCTTGCTTCAAGTTTGGAGCAGTCCATTCATTGTTGAAGGGAATATCAAAATACACAAAAGGGGCTACCAACAGTATAGAGCCTGGTCGGACAGTACAGATGTGCAGGCCGGCCAGTCTATACTGGTGGCAAAGGTTAATCACTTTAGGCTACAGCAGGTTAAGTTTTAAAAAGACTTACTTCTTCCTAATTAACAATTTATACCAACAGGAAAAATTTCATTTTTCTGTATATGGTACAATTTGTTAAATAAAAGAAAACACAAAAAAAAATCACATATATTCTTTATGAATAAAATGTAACCTTAGTCAGAATGTTTGAGTAATAACGGAGTATTTACAAATTTAATTGTTTTAGACTAGCAGGAGCATTAAGCTTATATTAAATGGATTAGGTAGGTTTATACTTTACATTGTACATGAGGAATGATAGTTTCTTGTAGAACCTATCATGTGAAAGTGATAAGTTGGTCAGGTCTAAAAACCATTGTTTTTATTAACTTGTTGGGGTTTTTTTTTAACTTTATCCTATGACTTGCTTTGAAAATTCGCAGCTGTTTTGGCTTCTTTTTTTTTTTTGGTATTTTTTTATTATTTTGTTGAAAGAGGAATATATATATATTTGCTAACAGTAGTGCTATAAGAGTAATTTAATATGTATAAAATTTACTGAGGATATATATCTATGTTATAGATGTTTTTTACACACTGTGTGTCCTATATGGAAGTATGTTACAGTTATATGTATGTTTGGAAGTGTAACGGATATACTTAATGTGCATTGTAACAATAAGCGAAACGGTTTTGTACCAAATACTGTCAGTAAATATTTTTGTCCTACAAATGACAGCAAATATTTTTGTCATACAATTTTTTTAGATGGATGATTTAAGTGCTTCTTGATTGTTTTACTGTGCTATCTTTTGTTAATGAATACCATTTAATGTGTTACTGTGAATTCATTCAGTCTTCCACTTTTATTTGATGATAATGTTAGATAAAACCATACTAAAAACATGATTTTTTTTTTCATGAAAATAATAGTCAGTCAAATGTTATTATTTTTTTACTATTGAATAATGCAAATCTTACGCTTACTGGGAAAAGTAAAGCAAATAATTATGACATTTTTTTGTAGTACAAATGTGTGGAACTGTTTTGTTCATTTCTGCTGAGTCTTCATACTGAATAAAGAGTCTCTTAAATGCTTACCATGAACTGCTGCAGTCAAATATATCTTAACTGATATTGTCATATGATAGTACATGAATATGTACATATTTTGTTTTGTTACAGATATATATATAATTGACAAAAAGCTTAATGCCTCTTAAACATCTTGTAAAAAAAAAGATTTTTTTTTTTTCAATTTTGCCTTTTTATTGCCTATGGTATCAAATACAATCACTTATCAAGCTTGCGTGTCACACATCAAAATATCATGTTATATATCTCCTGTTTTATGTATTGTTTTATGAAACTGTTTTGTTATGTACAGTTAACTTTTTTTTGTATGACTGTAGATATATACACATTTATTTTGTAATTCCAGCCTATATTACTAGGCCATGTTAATACTAGCATGTAAATTTGCCCAACTAAAATATTACCAAATAAATTTAATGCAAAATAGAAAAAATAGTTTGTTGTAATATTTTTCTGCCAATTTATACAGCTTCTTAATCACCAACTTTAACACCACAATTGTGTATCAGACTTATCTGCTCACATACACCACTTAGTTTGAAGCTTTAATAAGACTAAATAGGCTTTCAGTACCAAGTTTTATAAGGTTGCTGACTTCAATTTGCAACTTACCACTGTTGGTTAAAATCCTGACAAGACAGATTCATTAATGTAAGTAGTGTATGAAAGATTTTTAATTCTACTTAGGTGCCAGATTGTGTCTGTTACAATGGGCATGGCACTTGAGGTGTTCCCCTACTAGTAAAGGTGGAGAGAAGTCGTATGACCTTTATAGTGTTGGTGAGAACAGCTACATATTTTAGTTGCCCAATAGAGAAATTTTACATAAATGAAAAATGTATGTATATAATTATATGATATGTACTGTCAAAAGTAAATGCCCTACCAGTTTACACATGCAGTTTATTATTGCCACGCTTTGCTGGTTTCTTTAAGGTAAATTGACATGTTTCAACAAAATGCAAATTTTGATATAGTTCTACCTTCTGTTAGTACAATAAACATAATACAAAACAGCCCTAAATACTGAAAATTTTGTAAAAACTGACAAATTTCTGCATGAATTAAGTTGCAAAATGGTAAAGATAGTAATTCTTGAAAGAATAAATCGTCAAAATAAAATGAACTTTTGGCAAGTTGGGTAAGCCAGAAAGATAGTTGGTTACTTACTAGGAGATGACAACAACACTCACACATATTTGTGATAAATTTTACTAGACCTAACAGTAAAAAAGTTTTATGGAAAAGATGGAAAACAAAAAACCTTCACCTGTTTTACTTGTATTTGAAAGGTAAATATGCTATTTTATTAAGAATATCATAATATTTTACTTTTCATTCGATGTCTTTTCATAGTAAGCTGTTAAAAACCTATATATTATTGATAGTGTATAAAATTCGGATATGACAATTTGTGGATACAGACAAGGCGGATATCGACCTATATGTATGAGACAGGGCACAATCATGAAAGTGTGTTGAATGATTGTGACTAAGTTTTTTCAATAGCCACAAATAACCTGAAACCGGTTGTTCACACTACTTAGGGATAGAATATAATTTATAAAAAGTGTTGTTGAAATTTAGCAGTTTAGGTTATCAAATTTGATGACAATAATAGATTATTATTAAGTATTTATTTTATTTCAGAAAGACAATTAAGTTACTTTTACTTAAAAATCCATAAAAATATAATTTCTGGTATATCGCATACTAGCAATATGTTATGACCTTACATCATGCATTTACAGACCTTATTTACTTATTTGTGTTATACAATTTTACATGATAAGCAGGGTACACAGATGGGGGAAAGAATTAAAAACTATTTTTTAAAGAAAATGATAAGAAACATTTATAATTCATTCATAGTTAACACAACAATCAAAATGTATATAAGGTGCAGGGCTTCTGCAGAAGTGTTAGCAGGTGATGTTAGTCATTTTATAATAATAAATAATTTTTTAGGACAGAGATAAAAATTCTCTGCTCCGGTAATTAGTAAACAGTTTTGCCAGTACATACAAGGTGTAAAGCACCAATAAAGACACTTCCATATAAAGTTCTTTTAATTGAAGTATAGACATTTAAAACTGGAGCTGAAATGATATATCAATGAATTTATGTGTCATTAACATTTTTCTTGTGATCAAAACAGATTTTAATAAAAACTCAATAATTTGGCTTAAAGTATCCAAAAATAGTGAAATACACCCAAAACATAAACTGACAGATGTGCCCTTTGAAATGGACATTTTAAAGACTATTATGCTGTCAGTGTCTGAATATATTTAATATTATCTATTCAACAAGCTATAGCCCAGTCTGCTACATGTAGCTACATACCAGTTTTTATATCATCTTTATTGCTTTTCAGATTATGACAGGGTGCCTGTCAACCATCAGGTTCCTGTATCAAGATCATATTTTAATCTATCAAACATTTTTATGCAGAAGAAAATTGACAATGTCCAATGGTCAAGAAAATACACCTCATCCTATTGGTTCATTTGTAATAAATCCCTTAATTGTTCAATCAGATAAAAAATCTGATCCTATGGTTAATGAAAGTGTTAGTACAATATGTGTCAAAGAAATTAAAGAAAGTGATGCAAATAAGTGTGAAAATGAAAATATTATTGCAGAAGTAAATGTTACTGACATGCATTTGGAGCAGCTTAAGAAAACTCCACCTACAGTTTTTCATGAAAAAGTGCAAGATGTTAGTGTTGAACCTTCTATATTGCCTTGTTCAGTAAAACCTGAATTAGAAAATTCAAACTTATCTGGAGAAACTAATTTGATGATGAAATCTGCAGATGTTCCAGATAGCAATAGTACATTGATGATGAAGTTAGCTATATCAGGCCCTCCAAAATGTAAGTTTGATGAGAAGAAAACTGTGTTACCACAATCTCTACTTCATGGTGTGACAGAGCTTGTCAAAAAGCAACAGTTGATGAAAGCTCTTAAGATAAGTAACCCAGAAAATAAAGAGATATCAGTGAGTCTGGAGGGTTCTTTAGGTAGAGGGGATGCACCTGCAGTGTATGATTTAAAAAGTGTGAGTTTTTCAAAGGAACATAGTTTTGAAGCCATTGAGAAAGCTGATGAATTAGGAAATAGAAACTGCAAACAATTAAACATTGAAGAACCAGTAACAGATTGTAGTTCAGTGAATAGAAATCTTTCGTTAGTTGATACTAATAAAGTTCCATGTAATGAAAACTCTGGTGCAGAAGACCCCGATTGTAGATTTTCTAAACATGAAAATGAAATACAAACAGCATTGTCAGATAGCTCGCAACAGCAAATGTTAGAAAAACAAGATTCTGAGATAGAAACGCAAGAATTAAATTTGTCATCACTGAATGAATTAGTTACATCAGAGAAGATATGTGAAGATAATCCATTATTTGAAATGGATCTAGATAACCTAATTGACTGCAAGAACCATGAAGAAACAAATAAGGAAGCTGGAACTAGTCAAAGTATCTCAATTGTTAGGGAGACATCTAAAGAGTTATTTGATGATGTTAAAAGTGTCTCTAGAAAGAAAGAAAAGACAACTGAAGATATTATTTATGACTTGTCAGCTCTTTTCTCAGGTAAGTTTGTGATTGTTTTCTTAAGATAGAATACTGTGAATTCATTTAATTTCGTGAGCATGAAATTTTGTGGTTTTGTCACAAAGAACATGATCATTGGTTCTTTAATTCATTGCCTGTCTATTTTTCAAAAAGGTAAAATGTAAATTTATAATGTGATGCAAAATATTCTTAGATATAAATAATTCAAAGGTTAACCTATCAACGACAACCATGAAAAATTGTTGAATGCTTTTCTTCACTCTAATCAAATGAATCATGTTTTTTCATGTAAAAAGAGCATGTCAATAAAACAAGACCTGTTTAATCAAAAGGGTGATAACTCGACATTTGAGTGATCAGAAAAGACCTCATAAAAAAAGAATATATTTGTTATAGATTGAAATGTTATTCCTTGAATTTGAACAATTTTTCAAATTAGAAAAATTATAACCATAGCATTGCCTGGCTGATGTTTTTGCAAAAAAAATTCAATGTTGGACATAGACATAGTGTTCTTTAACATAATTATAATCTTCAAGTTAATTCTGAGACGGGACCAAAAAAACTGGCTGTTAGTGAACCAAACTCTTTCCTCATACATAATTAGACACTACAAAATTAGAATGATTATATTTACATTTTTATTAAAGTCTTAAAATAATCAAATAAATCTAATAATCATTCAAAATAAAACAAGTTCAATGAGAGTACAATTAATTTCATTCAAATTTCTAGGCAAATTAGAAGAGAGAAGGAAAAAAGAATTGAAAAAGCAGAAAAGAAAAGCAAAGAATTTTGAAAGATTTTC